TTGACTCAAAAACCACTTCCTTTTGTCTTGACTTAAACAGGGCTGCTCATGTGCATTGGTTAAAAACATTTAAGATTGGGACACAGGTCCAGGTGCCTTGCAGCATCCCACCACCTGACACTGTGCACTGCAGAATGGAGATGTGCTGGCAAAGGACCAGCCCGACTGAATTGCAAGCTGTACGTGACATCTTGTGAAACAATTTACCCACAGAGTCCAGGAGACCATTCCTAGGGCGTTTAAGTTGTCCACTCCTTCTGAGTGAAGCCAGGTAACACCACAACACAATGACAGCATTTTCCACCTGAGAGTGTTTTCAGAAACAAGAGCTCACAGTGGTTACCCTGGCAAAACTGGAAGCAGATGACAACAGACACCAATGGTCAGGGTGTCCTGACACTTTCTGTTCCAGGACCTGAGCTCTTCTGTTGCTATGCCTGTTACGGATCTAACTGTTCAAAACAACAGCTTTCCACAGTGGCATTCAACCTCTAGCCAATTTGACTTCACAAGTTTCAGCAAAACTTGGGTAGGCGGTTTTGAAGAACAAGGTAGACTGTGAATGGCTTTTGCTTTTCTTTCTTTGGAAGCTCTACAGAAGTACATTACCCTGGGGCAAGAGAACTGCTTTTGCTGTTTTTGTGAAAATATGCCTGGGATTTGTCAAGTCACAGAGCTTAATGTATTATATCACTGTTTGGACGTGCTCTGTAAAAGGTCAAAAAACATCTACCCTGAATGCATTCATGGCAACAGGCATCTACTGGTTCTGATCACCAGGTCGGCTCAGTGAGTGAGGCAGTGTCTTTCACACTCTGCAATGTCTATTTATTTCTTGTCTCCTATAAAAAAGTAGGCAAAAAAAAATCCTGCAACTGAAGGCAATGTCACACTGACCCAAATGGGATCAGAAAGTCCCCGCAACATGCAGTAAGATCCAGGCTTTTACCATGTTCAAACTGCACAACTATCCTTGCCGAGAACTGATGTTGAAGTATGTCTCTAAGAAAGGAGGTAACTGCAACGCTATCACCACCTCCCTCCTCCTCTCCTCAGAGAGACACACAGGCATGACAGGCAGCATAAATGTCTCCTTGCTGCTGTGAGGAAGGAAAAATTAAAAAACCTTTAGCTGTTGGTACAGAGTACTGTAAGAAGTCTCCTGGAGGAGAAGGAGAGGAAATATAAAAGGTATGCTCTGGTTACAGTGAAATTCAACAGAGGAATTTTATAGTGCACGTACTGTTTTAAAAGCCACACGCTTTACTTTAAGCCTGTTCCATTGTACTTGCCAAAGCAAAGAGGAAAAACCTCACATAGCGCCTCGAGAGGTTTCTCCCCAGGAAATCCTTACATCTCCTTTGCTTGCACTGCTGATGCTGCTCAGAGCTGTCTGTCAGGCGACCTTTACAAGCGCATTACCATGTTTGACAGCAACCCTCTGCCACAAAAGTTTCCAGAGAAGTTACCCGGCTCGGTGAGGTTTCTCATTTTCCCTATTGGCTGCCCAGCATTTCAGTGCTCTGCTAATTATATCAACACTCAGATACAAACTCACCAAAATAGATGCTGTCCTGAGGCCTCAGCTGCAGAGAAACAGACGTCGTCTTTAAATAATCCAGGTGGAGAGGCAAAGGGGGTCAGAAAGCCCCCCCTGGGCCACCTCCCATTGCTAATGGGGACTGCAGACAGCCTTGCTGGGACCAGCTTACGTCACTAATTAGGGTGCAGGTCCCAGGGCTTCAAAGGGACAGAGGCTGACCAGGGGGGGTAATGCCATCGAGGAGATGCAGTGCCACAGCTCATTGTCAGTGGGACAAAGGGCTCTATTATAGCTCCCAAGAGCAGGGCAGTTCTTACCGTAATTAGGAGACAAAGATGCACGATTTCGGATTTTACATAATCAAGAGATACTCTCCCAAGCAGGAGCCCCTCTCACACAATCAGTGGATTAAGGATTGTTTATTCTGCTGCAAGTAAACAATGAGGTGCTCCCCGCTCGGGGGCTTTACATGAAAAAGCAGAACTGGGGAAGACAATGCGGGGTGTCTTTTCAACTGACTTTGAACAGCTAGCCCTGTGATTTAAAGTTGTTCATTTGACAGTATCTGGAAGGGTAATGGCCCACCCTGTAAATTAGCTGCTCACATACTGATCTGGGGGGCTGCTGGACAGCCTTACCTTTTCTGCTACTTAGCAGGGGAGGGGGGCCGGGACAGACAGACTCAGACAGCTCTGGGGGCAAGAGGCTATAGTTACACAACAGCACTATAATGGCAGGATTAAAGGACCACAAGGAAGCCCAGCAGAAGCTCCTGCCCACCCTGGCACTTTGCTGCTGCTGAGGACGCATCCCTGAAGGGAGGCTGGTACCACCGTCAAGGTAATGCACGCTGGTGCACTGCTCCAGAGCCCATGTCCGTAATTGTTTTTATGGCAACTACCGGGAGAGCAAAATAGAGTCGGATGTTTGCCCTGTGGTTTACAAAGAAAGGTAGGGCTAGGCAGATTGAGCATCACTTATTTTTGGTCATGACAAAACAGTCTGTGCTGGGCTACCTAAAGCAGTAGCTCCAAACCGACTGCCAGACCCAGAGCATCTGGTTCTGGGACGCAAACATCTGATATTTGCCTCACAGAAGTCCTCATCAAGTGACTACTTATACAATATTGGCAATAAAAAGAGACTGAGCATGTTCTGCTCCCTGCCCTTTGCTCATAACACAGCTGCTACGTTTTTTTGTGTTTGAACTTTGAGGAGAGTTCTTCCTCCTTCTCTTCTACAATAAGGAAACACCAGGATTTGATGAACGCCTTCTAACATATTGCAGGTTGCTCCCCTACCACGAGCAGACTCATACACACATGCCTCCTGTCTAGCAAAACATTCTCTTTTCTTCATCTCATTCACTCAAAAAAACACTTTTAAGCCTCACCCAGAGGAACCATTTCAGTCACATGAACTCAGGGCTGAGAATGGTGTGTCACATTCAGCGTATCTTGTTGAATCCTACAAACAGTCCTGCAGAATCCTGGGAACCAGGGGATTACAGCCCCTGCCTGCCAAGGATTTTAACCCATTTCCTTTGGGATGAAAGAGTCACCTTAACAGCAGCCCCGACTGCTCTGCTTACCAGAGGATTTTCTGTTAGGTTGGGCCAAGCAGACAGTGACATTTGACTTGTCTAGACTAGGACAAAAGGTGTGTTTTAAACCAGATAGGCAGGGCAAGTTGCATTTGAGCAAGTTAGATGAACAAGCAGAACCACAGCTTCCTTGTCCTGTCCGATATCCACTGACATGTCTTAAATTACTAAAGCAAATACTTGACAAAAAACCCTTACCATCGTCTAGACAAGTTCATGAAGACAAGCATCCCAGCACCACCCTTAACTCATGCCCACAGAGCTTCACAATCATGGTTTTGACTTAGGGACACATTTTAGTCTTTGTTGCTCAACACAATCAAGGGTAGCAAAATCCATTTCAGGATAATATTATCCAAAAGCAAGTCTTCCAATCCTAGAGAAAGAGTTGCATGAAGAGGAACATCATATTTGCACAGCCAGCGTGTCTTTCTGCCTTGCCACAGCAGATTGCAGAGCTGCCAAGCTAGAAGGGTACCTATTCTGTTATCTTTTATCCATTGTTCAAAGCAAGAGAATCCACCTGTCCACTCACGTCCATGTCATATACCTTTACAAGGAGGTCGTATCTTCACAGAAGCTTCAAAATGAGGCTAATGCCAGGATAAGCCTAGTATGACAGCTGCTTTCTCTAAAGCATAAAGTGTATGGTAAAATTACCTCTGGCTCCATTTTGTGGGGGTTGCAGAGCTCTTACCAGAAAACAACTGTTTCAGTTTTGCTCTATAATGAAAATATAATTAATTTACTTCAGAAACAGCAAACTTCAGTTAATTAACTACTATTTCCTCGACCAAGTTTAAGAGAGAGCTTTCCAACTCCTTTCTGCAATAATTACGGCACTTACAATGCCTTTAAAAATGGTTTTACATATTTACCAAGGTTTTCTAATTAAAAATTGGAAAATTTAATAGAATTAATCCCATTTAATAGAATGTGATGGCTCTGCTCCATGCCGTTCTATTAAGGAACTGTGTTCAGGAGAGAGTGTTGACACTTCAGGATGCTGAATTCTGCACCCTTCCAAAAAGATCATTAGGGTCCAATGTCCCAAAATAAGCTTAAAACACTGACAAGCTTCTGCAACTGGACAATCTCCTTTTCTAAAATAGCAGCTTTTCTACATGCTAAAACTAGACTTGGAATATCTCTTTTATATCTTCATGTATCTGGCTCTACGTTTTTCTATGGCAAAAAAACAGGAAATAAAAAAGTATCAGGAGTGCCAGGGGCAATTACATGAACCAAAACACAACACCCAAGCACTTTCCCAAACAATTAATAACTAATTTTTCCTCGTTAAGAGAAGCTGATTTAAGCCAAAATCCACATCATTCCCTAACCTCAACAGGCAGAAAAGCCTAACACATTTCATTGAAAGTCTGGAACTCATCTATCTTCACTCACTCCCATGACAGACAACAAAACCTTTATATCCAGCCACCACCTTCTCCCTAAGTACCAAGAATAATCTCATGGTACCTGAATACTTTTATCAAGTTTTGCTTCATGTTTTAAGCACCTTTAGTTTAACTTCCTAAAATTTTGCAATGTTGGTATTTTACAGTTTTATGTAACAACAGCGATGGGTATGGAGAGGAGGAGGGGGTGCTTTAATTTCTTCTAAAAACATCCCCAGCTATTAACTGACAAGATTTCCTGTATTTGCAAAAAATAGTAAAATTAAGCACTACAGCACCCTGGTGACACAACATGAGGCAGAAACATGTAAAAACCTGTTCAAACTTACAAAGAGGGGTAGTTAGTGCAGGGGGCTGAATGGCTCCTGCCCATCACCAGCAGGCTCCCTCAGGCCATCTGGTGACCAGAAACACTCTTGGGACTATTTCTTACCTCAGTGAATTATCTGGATGTGTTTCCATGTGGGACTCCAGCCCGTACTTGCAAAAAAAATCTTTGAAACACACTGGACAATGATAAACTTCCTCCTCAGCCTTCTTATCCCCTTCACCACAGTGACCATCCTCGATAACCTGCAGAGATAGGGAAAAAAACCTCACTAGACCAAATTTTAAGCAACAAACCAAACATGCAATCCATTCAAAGTCCTTCTCTTAAAAACGAAGTAGCGGGCTTCATCCGTAACTTTGCTGCAGGCAACCAGAAATGACTCATTTCAGCAACAGAGACAGGGGAAGCGAGAGAGCCTCTGCCCATGTGTGAGAACGCGCACAACAGAAAAGGAGGCTCAGCAGGAGAGAAAGTGTGCAGCTAAGTCACGGATACATCAGGTCTAATGAGAAACTGCGATGTGAACAAATTATAAACCCGTATTTTTATATACCACTGAACTAGCATTCCTCCCCCTTCAGAAAGCCAGGCAAGCTGTCAGCCTAAATTATTTATGCCACTGAGATACTGTCAACTGTTAACTCAAGTGGTCCAGGGAAAAGCAATGAACTTCTGCATGTTTTCTATAGCCCTCTTCTGAGTACAAGGAGAAAAGCACTCACAAAACAAGGGATACTGAGCTAAATGGAACTGCTACTAGCTTGCCATTTAGAGATAGTAAGTGAAAAGGGTCGAGTTAAGTTTGGCAGTCACCATACATTTTGTATAAATGACTGAAATGCACTAAAATATTTCATAAACAAAATCCTAATGGAAATGTCTAGCCTTCAAACAAATATTTTCTGGTTGCTCTTGCAGGATTACGCTACTGTGAAAGGGAAATGTACTACAGATTTCCACCCCCCACCCCACGCCCC